CAAACATTTCACGATCTACCATGAATTATGCATTACACACAGATCAATGAAATCTTCATTGCTCCAAAAAAGCAAATAAAAAAAATCATTCTTATTTCTACTTTGGCAATTGTGGCTTTATTTCTGAGAATTTTCCCCTCGGTTGCTGCTGCTCAGGGGTCATGGTAGATTTAAATTCACAGGGTTTTGATATAAAAAATACAGAGAGAACCTACATAATTGCCTTGTAATGCCATGGCAATCCAGACCTAAGTTGAATGAATACGCTAACTATGTTGAAATATTTAAAGGAAAGAGAGAAAATGTTTCAATGACAATTCAAGGAAACATTTAGATAATATTTAAATAGATAGAAACAAGAACAGTGAGATATTCAAATATCTATGTACCTTTTCATTGGGCTCATCCAGAAATAAACGGAATTTAATGAAATATTGTATTTGGATATAACCTAGGGATTCCTTTTGGTAGAAATGAAAGAAGGTTTAGCATCACCTTTTGTGAGGTGGATAAAATCAAATCTTGAAATTTAGACCAGGGGATTTTTAACACTTGGCAGAGGATGATCAGCAACATAGTTTATTAAGTAGCGATGGAAGAGCCATACTGCTGAGAGCAAACCATTAAAGAGCAGCATGAAGCGCAGACTCTGAGCTCTGCATGCAGAAACGCATTTCTGCACAAGCACAGATGGAAGGTCAGAACAGTTTGTCCAAGTTGAACGGACAGTACCGGACCATTCCGGGTTATTTTCTCAGATCCTGCCACTGCTGCTGCCATGATCCATCTGTGCTCCTGCATGATATGGAACATTGTGCAGCAGGATGAAACAGGACGCAGCTGAATGGGTGATACCGCTTAGCAGATTACAGCACAATGATGCAGTTTAAAGGTCTGACCGACGACCCGTTCATTTTTATTTAGTCTCGTCTTGTTGACGAAAACTTAAACGTATGGCTCGTCATGTTTTAGTCATCAAAGATCCACGTTTAGCTCGTCAGTTTTCGTTATTATCAAAGGAAAAAGGAGCACTTATCTCAAGAAGTCAAAGGAAAAAAAGAAAAAAATTTGAGTACCTCCGTTCTCTGCTTCCATACAAGAGACTTGTCTGTCCTTTTGACCTAAATAATAAAATTAAAAGAGTTCTGTTCTGCAAATTGAAAATGGTATCACGTATCGGGTATATATTCTATATTCTGGTATTAAGTTTGTTTGTGATCATGCTAGAACCACCTCCTCGTAAGAAAAAAGCTAACGAGTCCACAGATAAAGTATAGGGGTAGGGGCCCAATGTTGTTTTGGTGTTTTTATTTTTTCCAATAGAGACTGCTACACTTCACAAAATAGATAGCATTACTGTGTGTAGAGGAAATATGAGGAAAGCAACATCTCAAAATGTCACCCAGGAAAGTGGAAGCCCTGACCATAGTGGCAAAACAGTTATAAAGTGGGGTGAGGACAACAAAAAGACCCTTGAAAAATGTAAAAAGTTTTACCTATATTTCTTCTGAACACAGGCAATGCCAAAAAACCTGGAAAAAATACCCAGAAAACAGAAGCACTGAAACCCTAAGTTGCTTTAAATCCAGATTTAAAAAAAAAGTTTGTTTAGCATGCTCTTTGGCTGTGCTATCTGAACATCTTTGGTTAACTTTAAATTAATTATTTATTTGGCCTTTTTGCCATTGTACTGTACTTTTCATTTCTTCTTTTTCCATCTACAGAATGTTGAATTGTCTTGCTACTGAAATGTGCTAGAATATCTCCTATGAGTCACACATAAAAACAAGCTAGTCATATTTTTTGTAATTTAACCTGACTGGGCACCATATACAAGTTGTTACATAAACTACATACCATTGAGTTACACTTATCTTATTTCACAACATGGATTTAGAGAATACAAGTTTCTAAAAACATTATTTAATGTTTTAATTTATCAGATTTAATAAAAAAGAAATGTTTATTTCTGCTTTTTATGAAAGCAATAACGTCATCTATCAGTTATTGACCTTTTTTTTCATTTTATTTGCATAACTGCTGTTTAGCGGTCGTTTTTTATTTTGTATTGTGAGACAGGTTTCTTACAAGTTCTGTCTTCTTTCCCCTTTCATTCAGTACATGGATACAGCTGAGACAAAATAGCAGTTTTTCAAGAAAACACTTTCTTTGGAATCTCATCAAATAGCCTTAAATCAACGGAGCAGTCTGACCAAAAAATATGGAGCAATTGGAATTTCAACTGATTTCAACCTTGCCTTGATTCTGATTACTGTATTATACCAAAAATTTAATTTTTTGAGTATTTAAAAAAAAAAAATCTAAATATGATCAAGCTAAGCCTTTATTAGTTCTGCTGTCACTGTTGAAAGCTGCAAATGTGTTAAAATTCAAAATGAATCCGCTTTTTTAATAATTGTTAAATATGTTCTAGAATGAAAATAGCTTTCTACAATCATCTGAACTGAACTTTAATCCTCCAGTTTTTGGCACCTATTGAGTTTTGACTTAAATATGTCAGTTTAGGAATTCACTAATTAGCCGGGGTTCTAAAAGCTTTGACAAGCAGAGGATTACATTAGAATTAAATATCTGTTTTATATCTGATCATTGACAAAAAAGATAAAAAATTGTAACTCAGAAGCTGCAGCTTCTCTTTGCTAGGTGGATGGTTTACTCTTCCACTGTTAGGTTAAGCTGGATCATCTTTCACTTTGCATAGCAGGTCTCCTTTGGCTAAGAGATACATTCCCCTTTAAAAGTATTCATATATTTATAATCACATTCATGCCAGTCAGTTTTCACTTATAATGATGCCCTAGAGTTATTCTTTTTGTTTATAATAGAAATGACTGAATGTCCTGTAAAAACGAAAACAACTGTAGGTTTTTTTACTTGAATGTCCCCCAGGAGGTGGCAACAAACCACTTTTGTAGCCAAAGATGCTATAAAAGTGAAATAATTCTGGCTGGACATTTATTTGCTCTAGTAAGCAGAACTGAATAATTGAATTGTATTGAATTATGTTGCTGTCCTGGCATGAACAAAGCTTTTAAGGATTGTTAAAATGTCAAAATCCTATTTTTTTTTTTACATGATTTCAGAGTTATTGGAAAACATTGAAGCACTCTTATATGCTGTACTTTTTGACTCAGTTTGAGTTTTGCTTGAATAGTTGCTGTGCTATCAGATGTACTAATCAGCCAGGTGCAAGCTTTTAGTTTATGCTATTAGAACAGAGACGGATACGTGAACTGATGACATTACAGAGTCAATCATTATCTGAGTATGTTAGGAAGAAAAATAATCGTTTTGTTTTTTTCTGTTTTTTTTAATATTTGTAGGGATTTTGTTAGTATAAAGTCTGTTTTTTTGAAAATAGCAATGGAGAAGAAAGAGATGTTGAAAACTGTAGTTCTAAGCTGCTTCTCCACTGCAACCCAGACTGTCACTGATGTCTTATTTTATGTGGAAGAATGGTTTACCTGACAATGATTAATTAATAAGCCAAAGCAATACTGCTTAATTGTCCAAACACATTATATTTACCTGTTTGTCTTTGTTTAGGCTAACAAATCCAGATAAAATATTTCCTACTTCTGGAAACGTTTATTCTGGAGGCTTCGTTAGAAGGATTTTCTACAGATATGTGTAATCAAACTGGAGCTCTGAAAAAGATCTCTATTTCAGGACAGTAAATAATATGATAGTCAAATAATAATATGACAGTAATAATAATATGAATCTTGTGTCTCAGAAAACTTTGTTTGTAGTTTGTCTCTACACATTTTCTTTTTTCTTTGGAATAGATGATCAGAGTAGTCTTGGTTTGATAAGCTTAGGAGATAATTATCCTGGTAATTATTGCATGATACCAAATATTGAACCGTTACCTGCCAAGGTCAAGCAATGGTTTTGCCAACCATGGTACGAAGCCAGTCAAGGGATTGAAAACTATGAATAAGATGCAGGTTCTGGTGCAAAGCTTTATGTTATTTGCTTTACACATCCCAAACCTGTTTTGACTTAAATTTGGGGTTATAACTTTTTTAAAACACCAACATGTGTTAAAGCTCTGACCTTGATGTCACTCTGAAATGAGAGAAAAATGTTTATGACGAACAGAAACATCTCAGGAACCACCAAAGCTCAAGCCTGACAAAAATCGAAAGTTTAGGATAATCGTTGTAACTGTGAGGCAAAAGATTAATTGATGAGGGATTCATCTGGCCAGACTGATTAGAATGTTTTTCCGAATGGATTAAGAAAGTGGACCTTTTGTCTTGAAATCTCTTTCCCTAAAGTCTGTGTTTAAAAACATAGTTGTGTTTCAGAAAATCCAAATAAGTGTTGATTCAATACCTCGGACTAGAGCAAGATGTTTATATTGGAATCATATGACAAATATACACAGGAGGTTTTTCATAGTGTGAAGATATAAAGAAAGCTTCTTAAAGATTAAAACAATAGAATTCAGAACAAAACAGAAATGGTAGGACAAAGGGGGAAATAGTAGAATTAAGTTTATGAGGTAGAAGTTGGCAGCTTCCCTATGCTTTTATTTTATCTCCTGCTTTTTCAATGTGCTTAATCCTGTCCCAAGGGGACCTGCTCATCTTATGTGACTGGAATTTTTGGATCAGTCACAGCAGCAGGGATAATGGGTGTAAAGGAGCCTTAGCCATAACAGTTCCACTGAGAATGAGAAGGTAATAGTGGCTCAGGAATGTCTACCACCAAAGGCACCAACAGGTAGTAAGCAGCAGAAACAGGATGGTTCACATTATCTCTGCAGGGCCTGATAGTTACAACCCCAAGACTGTCATCAGGACTGTTTAATTCATAAGCTTTGTCTGCTCAATGAAAAAAAAAATCCCATTGCTAACTTAATTAGGAGGCTTGTTCATTGTAACTTAATTAATTCTACTGAACAAGACATAACATTCTAAAGCATGAATAGAATTTATCCTGATTCTTTTTTTTCTTTCCCTTGTGCTCAGGTTTGGTACATGGATGGATACCATAATAACCGCTTTGTTCGGGAGTACAAGTCTATGCATGACTTCATGACGTCAGACAACTTCACGTCCCACCGACTGCCGCACCCTTGGTCAGGAACAGGTCAGGTCGTCTACAACGGCTCCATCTACTTCAACAAATTCCAGAGCCACGTCATCATCAAGTTTGATTTTCGCACCTCCTCTATTAGCAAGTCTCGGCAGCTCGACTATGCCGGCTTCAACAACGCTTATCACTATGCCTGGGGAGGCCATTCAGACATTGACCTGATGGTTGATGAAGGAGGCCTGTGGGCTGTCTATGCCACCAACCAGAATGCAGGCAATATTGTCATTAGCAAGCTGAACCCCAACACCCTGCAGATCATCAAAAGTTGGACCACCAACCATCCCAAACGGAGCGCTGGAGAGTCTTTTATGATCTGTGGAACACTCTATGTTACAAACGGATACTCTGGAGGGACCAAGGTATATTATGCCTACTCCACCAACTCTTCCACTTATGAGTATATTGACATTCCCTTACAAAATAAGTACTCGCATATCTCCATGCTAGACTACAACCCTCGTGACAGAGCCCTGTATGCTTGGAACAATGGCCACCAGGTGCTCTATAATGTGACACTGTTTCACGTTATCCGCTCAGAGGAACTGTAATAGGTGAGGATTCAATAAATATCGACAAATGTTGTCTGTGAAAAAACAAAAACATTGATTCTATTAATTTTCCAAAACAAAAGACCACAACAAGAACATCTTGTTAAGGCAAAGAATTGAAGGACCATATCCATGAATGTAAAATGGATAGAATGTGTATGTGAATACAAATCTTTTACTGTGTTTCATTCCAAAATTATGTCATACCTTAAAATCTGCAATATTATTTAGCGCAAAACAAAAGAAAAAAATCTAAGAAATATTTAAATATTTTGTAAATAAATGTCTTAAAATTAGTTTTGACTTTATGGTGTACTTTATTTTGATAGTTATCCTTAGAGGTTTTTTTTTATTTTGGAATGAAACTCTTTAATCATTTGTTGTCTAGAAAAAAGAATGTAAAATTAGAATATATTAGACTGAAAACATTGAGAACAGATGCCAGTTAAAGAGAAATTATCACGCCTTTTTTATATAAAGCAAATATCAACCCAAGGTCATTCCAGAGGCTCCTGTTTTTTCTGCAGAACTCCTTCCAGATGAACTTTTTGGTGGCCAGTAAGGAGGGTTGGGAAACCTGAACAAAGACTGTTGTTTATAAACTGTACGAAATCCCACCCTGCCCTGGGCCCATAAATAAAAGTCGGAGGCTCTAGTCAGAGGACTGTATAGCCAAAAGGAGGTGATCTGTCATATCATTTTTATCGAAATACAGTAGCAAATCTAAAGTCTGTAGTAAAACAATATCATCTACTAAAAGACCTGAAGGCACTGACTGTTGATCGCACTGTTTCTGTTCTTTTTTTTAATCAGATTTTTCAGCATTAGTGATTATTTGTTGAAAAGGCTTTCTTTGCATGATTGTTTTCTATAATGCCACTCTGCTCTGCTGAATGTGTTTTGCTGTATTATACTGTAAATCAAGAAAGGAGTTGGAGGAAGGAACTAATTCAAGGATTTACAAAACTTTTTAGTTTTCCCTATTTCTTCCTGTTGAACCACTATGTTCCATTTGTTTCCTTTTCTTAGCCTCCATTTTGAATGTTCTTGTACCACTTTAACCGTCAATACTAATTTTGCCTACTTGTTTTTATTTTATTGGACTGTGTAGGAGGAATCTAGCTAGCTCATTAATCTATGTAAGAAGCTAAAAAATATATATTAATAACAGAATGTATGAAATATTGTCCTGTTGGCAAGGGAACATTGGTCCCCTATCCTCATCCCACATCATGAACTTGAAGTGGGGAGGGATATACATTAAAAGGGTGTTCCATCACATGTCATGTAACACCCCCACTGTTAGTGGAGGATAATGTTTGTTAAATGTATGTATACCCTTGCTTAAGGCAACAGCTTTTCACTCTTTTTGCGCTTTGCTGGACATGTGTTGTATCTGAAATGAGATGGTTAATGATTCGTGTCAATAAAACAAACAAATCTAGCCATTGGGTTGTAGTTTTTAAAAGTTTTGGCATGTCTTTGACAGCATATTTGGTTTTTATTAATATTAACACACTTTTCTATTTTTGGATTACCAAGTTTTTAGAAACTTATTTGTAGTTGACATCTTTATTATCTGTAAAACTCTTAAAAGGGCATCCCTAAGAGTCACTGCATAATTTTAACTCTTGGCCAGTGGCTGAAAAACAGGTTTAAACCTGGAAACAATTGACCTTTGTTGACCCATGTCAAATGACTTAGCAAAGAAATACTGATATTCTTTCACATTCAAAGCCATATGTTAGCACAAAATCCAAAGTATAAAGATGAGAATGTGTGGGACTAGTCACATTTTGAACAAAGCCAATAGCATCAAGAAATCATTAAAGGCTGCATTTAAGCTATCAGATTTAATGTCAGCATAGATGTTAAAATCACCCACTATGATGATCTTATCAGTATTTAACACTTGATAAAATATGATCTCTGTAAACTGATCTAAAAGATCAGTAAGGACCGATTGGATGATACAAAGTTACAAAAATAATAATTCTAATATTTCTAATTATTGCCGTTAAAGGGATAGTTCCTGTGAGCAGAGTTCTCGTCCAGTTTTGGTCAAGCCAAAAGTAGTCCGGCAGGTTTGCTAGACCCAGCGAAATAAAACGTTTCTCTTCCCAAAACATTATGTGTTCAAAAGAGTGATATTTTTGCATCCCAAAAACGTTGTAGTGGAAAAAGTCACACGTCGTTATCACTTGGTCCTATTTTCTCTCTGTTCGTATCAGTGCGCGCCGTCATTCAGACAGCTAGGGCCTACTAACCTGACAACAGCCAGATGCATGTCAGACATGCATCTGGCTGTTGTTGAGCTCGCTGTCTGAATGACGGCGCGCACTGATACGAACAGAGAGAAAATAGGACCAATTGATAACGACGTGTGACTTTTTCCACTACGTTTTTGGGATGCAAAAATATCACTCTTTTGAACACATAATGTTTTGGGAAGAGAAACGTTTTATTTCGCTTGGTCTAGCAAACCTGCCGGACTACTTTCGGCTTGACCAAAACTGGACGAGAACTCTGCTCACAGGACGCTGCCAGGGGTAAGTCAGTGTGATTGCATGACACTGGTGATGGGGATGCCATACAGATTCATGTCAAAAATACCGAACTATCCCTTTAAGGGGGGGATTGTCTCCTGTAATACCTGAAACCTGTCTATGATTGTTAAGAGTCGGTCGTTAAGGAGGTATTGTTCACTGGCTGGAGCGGGTAGGTCCCTCATTCCTCTGTGATGGGGTGGGGGGTTTGATATCTAGAAGGGATCATGTCTATGATTGAATTGTATGTTTTTGGAAGCTGTGATATGTCAGGTTAAGCTGTTTAAGGGCTGCCGTTGTGTGGCGATAGTTTGCAGGATGGTGCGTGTTTTATGTGGCCATGACCGAGGGGCGAATTAAGTTTATATTAGGTTTAGGGTTAGGTTGGTGTTGGTAATGGTTAGGGTTATGAAAATGAATGCAATATGAATGGAAATTAATGGACGAGCACTCCCCCACCCTAAAGACAGTTCTAGAAGAATAAAATAATGTACTGTACTGCTAGACATTATGTTTTTATTAGCATTACATAAGCTTGGTCATATTTCAAATTCCAAAATAGTTTTGTAGCTTTATTTCTTAGTCCAAGAATCAGATTCTAGAACAGAATAGAGTATTGTAAATCTTTCTTGTCCCTGCCTTAGTCCATGGGCAAGCTCATTTTTAGTGATATGGAGAAATGTTTTATTTTTCAAGCATTATCTTTACCTGTATATTTGAAAACAGGCTAAATGTTCTTTGTCTCTAAACACTTCTCTTTCCTATGGGTTTGATAGCGTTTCACCACAAACAGCCCACAAGGGCTTTCTTTCACTTTTTACATCTACTCTTTGAAACTATTCCTTTTCTGCTCACTCAACAAGTATACCATCTTTGATTCGCTCTCCATCAAATCAAGTACTAGTTTTCTTCTTTTCTGTCACCGTTCAGCCAGTCAGTCTTTCCCGTTCTTTGTTGCTCCCACTCCTCCACTACCTCTCAGTCCTCTGATGTTGCAATCGATGAATAAATGATTGCTTCTATTTTCACTCCGAGTGCTTGCTTGACACAAACTGCTTTGTTCTCCAGAACAATAGGACTAAAAATTTTGGAGATGGAAAAAAAAATAAAGTTGCACGCAGAAGCAACATGTTCCTTGGAGGATCTTACTGTGAATGACGCTATGAGCTGTCACTCAATACCTGAATATATTTGCATCTTCAAGTGATGAATTGTGCATTAGGAAATATATCAGAGTTGTCTGTATCCTTCAGTTCTTGCCATCCGCATCACAAACTCATACACCCTTGAATTTGACAGTTACACTTTGTTTCATCATTGTGCATGTTGGCCCTCTATTGCAATTATTTCATATTCGCTTAGGAATTCTTGAAAGTGAAGAAGGATAATTAACGTTCACATACCTTGCCCTTTTACTACTATCACAGTAGCATTCATTCTGAGAAGAAAAAAAGCAGAGAGGTCTGACCTGCTCAACAAACATAAAGGGTTGTTCACATTTTTCTTTTTCCCTCTTTTCAAAATCAAGACTTTTAGTCAAATAAAATACAAGATGAAAATGGGATAACTCCAGAGTGGCTATCACCTATCAATACATTTTATTGTGGTAGCTTTCTGGGTTTCATAATATGTCTCTTTCTCTTCCCTGCTGTTTATCTTTTATCGTTGCTGCCATTATATATTCATTTATGGATTAGATTCTTAGTTCACTCTTCTGTTCAGTGCATATTCTGTATTACTATTCTGTTAGACTTCTTACCAACTTCTTCTCTGTTCGCTCTCGTTCATTTTCTCTCTCTTTATTAGTCTCACCTGTTCCTCAATCTCACCTAACTTGGTGAACTTGCTGACCATTCTTTTCCTACTTACTTCTCCCATATATTAGCTCCCTGGTTTTAATATCTCACAGCTTGTTTCTTTGGTTACAGTGCATATGTCTTCATTATTCCATTTCCATACCTGAATTTCATGCTTTTATTCTTAAAATATTCTATTTTCAACATGCTACCCTTAAGTTTGTGTCTGCAATTTGGACCTAGAAACAATCACACAGACATCACAATCAGCTTTATAAGAGTTTAGTTGCATCTATTTAGCACAATCTATTGTTAGAGTCTTTAAAGCTAAGACCTTTAACCAAGTCAGTTATTTTAACTCCCTGGATGGGTTAAATACTGTAGCTTTGAATATATAAAGAGATATTTCAGGTTTTCGGTAAATTTATATTATCTAGTCATGAATTTTCAGGTATCACTGGGTTTTCCATTAGATACTTATTTAGGTTTGACTGAGACATTCTAACATGAGGTGAGTTTTATTCTAGTCCTTAGTGGACGGTGCCCTGTATTTCTTTTTCTTGTGCCTTCTTTAACAATCCTGAATCAAATTATTAGTAAATTAGCCAGGCAATGCAAACTTAACTGTGAGCTAATTAGGGCATTAGATCAATAGATTAGAGACCCATGAATGTTTTGATCAATTTTTTTTTCTTTTTCTTTTTTATTAATATATACATTTTCCAGCGACTAGATCAAGTCTTTAGAAAAAAGTATTTTGTAAAATATATTCTTCAGTGTTTTCTATATTAAGCTTCATCCATCTTCCTTTCTGCTGTTTCGAGATTTGCTTCTTATATCCCCACATGATGCCACCAACAGTGTTTTACAATCAGAATAGCTTTCTGCCAGGGGTAGGGTATTTTTTTATGTTGATTGCACTGGACCAAAGCATTTTCTTGACTTTTTGATTTGTCTCTTAAATGTCAAAAGGTGAAACAATGCTGATGTATTTCTTTTAGTGCAGTATGAGCTTCTTTATGGCTACTTTTTGATGTAAGTTTTGAATACATAATCAGATTCCTGTAGCTCCTCCAGCACTAACACTGCTTCTCTCATTCATACTGTCTTTGACTGGCCTCTTTGACTGACCCAAGTCAGTTTATGGTTTTGTCACTCTTTTTTAATCAAACAGATTTTTTAGGCATGTTCCATTTGCTACACGTATCTAGAGTAAATACAGAATCAACAGGACATCTACATTTTCAGGTAGAGTTATTTTCAAATTTGTAATATTTTACTTTTTTGCAAATAACCACTTTGAAGGCTCTACAACAAAACCTGAGTGCTATACATTGCAGTATTTTAACTTGACAAATTCACTCTAAAAACAATTTTATGATGCTATTTTGAGTGAAAAAAGAGATTACGGTAAAGAGGTTCGACTTTTGAAAAAATAGTTGTATGGGTTTAGTTTTATTTAAATTTGTTAAATTTAATCAACTCTTAAGATTAAAGGGGGCTAAACAGTATCTGGCCTGAGAATTTCCCTTCACCTTGTAAGCTCATTTAAACTAAATACAAAAAGACACATCCTGAGACTTTTTCAACAATTCTTTTCATATGATTTCATTTTAAATATTTTCTCCCCAGATTAATCTCACAAGGCGCAAGTAGAAAGCAGAAATAATGTCTCAATTTTCATTGGAGCTTGAGGCCTATTACAGGCCTAGTGTGGATTGAAATAACAGCTAATAATAAATCAGTGGGACCATAAAGTTGAGGTCTGAGAGAAGAAAACAAAAACGATAAAGACAATTCATTTTAATTATAGTACAATAAAAAGGCAAAGCAAAATACAGTCAGATGTCCCCTTTGTGATTCTCAATCTGGCACTTACATTTACAGTTGTGTCCTTGTCAGCAGTTTAAACACCTGCTCACTCACAAATTGTCTTCTTAATTTGCATTTTCCGAAATGTGCAGCTCTCAGATACACACATACAGTGCTGTGAATAATAGCCACATACAGAGCAGCTGCCCGACCTGCACTGCCCTTTCATCATGTAGAGTATAATACCAAGTCATCTGGGAAATTTCAAAGGAGCAGTGAATGCTGCATTT